CGACACTGTATTCCAGCTTTAACAATCAATCAGATGAGATGTCACTAGCGTCTGCTGCAGCAGCACTAGAACTTTTCTCTTGCTACAGGGAATTCTAGTTACTGACTGATCTTAAGATTTTTTCTCTCAGTCGCATCATATTAAGTATAAGATTGTTATTATCAAAATAATAAACCTCACCTTTAATGATGTTTCAAATCAATTGGCAACTGTTTTATAGCAGAAATTCCTCCAGTTAATCCCAGCCATCACCAAGACCAACATGACAATCACAGAAAAGGAAGTACATTGGCCATATGCCACAGACCTCCCAGTCCACAGGGGAATCTACAACAGCTAAAAAGTGATAGAGATGCCACTGCTCTCAGTTACCTTAAATTTTCTTTAGTAATCCGCAACTCTTAGAATCATAGAATCATTAAGGTTGGAAAGGACCTCTAAGATTGTCAAGTCCAACAATTAACCCAACACCACTATGCCCACTAAACCATGTCCTGAAGTGCCACGTCTACATGTTTTTTGAACAACTCCAGGCATGGTGACTCCATCACCTCGCTGGGCAACCTGTTCCAATGTTTGACCACTCTCTCAGTAATGAAATTTTCCCTAATACCCAAACTAAACCTCCGCTGGCGCAACTTGAGGCCATTTCCTCTTGTCCTATTGCTGGTTACTTGGGAGAAGAGACCAACACTCACCTCACCACAAGCCTCTTTCAGGTAGTTGTAGGGAGCGATAAGGTCTCCCCTCGGCCTCCTCTTCTCCAGACTAAACAACGACAGCACCCTCAGCCGTTCCTCATAAAACTTGTCCTCCAGGCCCCTCACCAGCTTCGCTGCCCTTCTTGGGACATGCTCCAGCAACAATTTCTCCATAATATCCCATGAAGAATGAATAAAATGCTTTGCTCAATTTGAGGTAAATGATACCTACTGCATTTTTTGATTGAAGTGAGTGCAGGTTTGATTCTAGGACCTCAATGACAGTAGGGTTCAGAGTATGACAAAAAAATCTCTGTGAATTATTTGTTCTACTGCCCCTAAGAATATCCCTTCGATACTCAAGGTTTAGAACTCAGTACATGGAAAAGATGAGAGTTTCTTAGAACAACAGAACTGCAGAGCTCAGGTATGAGGTGCTGCAGACACCAGACATAGCAAAAAAAAAACAGTCTTGCCTGAGAGGGAGGAGGAGCAGGCAGAAACCTTAGTATTTCAGAAAAAATGCAAATTCCCTTCTGATAACAAATGAAAAGCAATTCCTCAGTATGCTGGTTTTGGCTGAGACAGAGTAAATTTTCTTCACAGTAGCTATGAAGCTACTACATATGGAGCTATGTTTTGGATTTGTGCTGAAAACAGTGTTGACTGATAACACAGGAATGTTTTGGTTATTGCTGAGCAGTGCTTCAAAGAGTCAAAGCCTTTTCTGCCTCTCGCACCACCCCACCAATGAGAAGACTGGGGGTGCACAAGGAGGTGGGAGGGAACGCAGCTGGGACAGCTGTCCCCAATTGACCAAAGGGATATTCCATACCATATGTCATCATGCTCAGCACATAAAGCTGGGGGAAGAAGAAAGAAGGGGGGGGATGTTTGGAGTTATGGCTTTGTCTTCCCAAGTCACTGTTAGATGTAGGAGCCCTGCTTTCCTGGAGATGGCTGAACACCTGCCTGACAATGGGAAGTGGTGAATTAATTCCTTGTTTTGCTTTTCTTGCATGCATGACTTTTGCTTTCCCTATTAAACTGTCTTTATCTCAAGCTACAAGTTTTCTTTACTTTTACTCTTCCAGTTGTCTCCCCCATCCCACCAGGGCAGAGTGAGCAAGTGGCCGTGTGGTGCTTAGTTGCCAACTGGGGTTAAACTACGACACTCAGTCATCTTAATACCTAAAAGCAGGGAAAGAATCTCAATTTACAAAACCAGGGATAGAGACATTGTGACTGTATTCAGACGCTACTACTCTTTTTTAACTTAGAAGTGGAGAACCTGGGAGTAGATTGTTTCATTTGAGGAACTGCAACTACAGACAGATGTGGTAAACTCAATGTCCCCTACCAGGTCACTGTGAAAGAGTGACTGTCCCTGGATAACAGTCTCTGGTTTAGGTGAGACCAAACTATTGTCTGTGGTGCCAGGGCTTGGAATAGGAGCCTTGCTTGTGGGATGGGTCACTAGATGCCCTTCTTTCAGCCAGGTGACCCCTGATTCAAGACTTGGGATGAAAATCATCTCAGTCTTAAAATTACATTTACATCCACAATTGACTATTTATCTCAGGTTTAGACAGTGGAGAGAAATCAGCACTTTTTACAGCATGATTTATCTATATTCTTTTAAATACCTAGCTCTGTATGAGAACTGTGCCGTGAACTCCATTGCCTATACTGACTAAATCTCTCAACTGCAAAGGGAGCCTAGTGTCTAGCTTACATATAAATAAATACAACATAGATGTCTATACTTAGCCAGATAAATCCCACTCCCAAAGTCCACCATGGCACCAGCTGTCCAGATTTTCAGTAACGCATTCTTCTTTAATGACATCTACTTGTCTGGAGTTCAGCCATATGAACATGGTTTCTGTTTCCTTCAGGCCATGGACCTTGCTGTATCCGTACCTCTAGCCACGCTGCAGTCAAACAGCCCTGTCTGCCTGACTCCCTCCTAAAAAGTCCCTTCTGGAATTCTGAGCGCATGAGCAGGTGGGTCTTCCATAAAGCAGTGCAAGGACTCTTGCAACTAGTGGCATGCAGCAAATGCTGCTCTCCGGATGAGGAATTCTGAGCCTCTCATGATGTAGTCCAAGAACGCAGGACTGACAGAAGAGGAGAGAACACACTAGTACCCAATAGGCAGAAAAAAGACAAGGCAGGATCTAGACTGGAAAAGCTGGCACCTGAGAGGGGTTGCTGACAGTGGTAAAGTGACCTGTCAGGTGGTGAAGGTGGTTTCCCCTGCTTCAACCAACCTCACAACCCCAAGGTCTCCTTACTCTCTGAGCAATCCCACAGCTCTCTTCTGTTTCAACAGGGCAGCTGTTCACAGAAGATCCAGGTAGGATCAATAGACCTGGCATATTTTATGCACTGTCCTCAATCAAAAGTGTTTGAAACATTTCCCCCTAAAATTTCTCCAGAATAATTAGTCTTCAGATAGAAAATAACCAGCCTGATAAACACTAAACCATAAACCTGTGGTTCCCAAAGACTGTTTCTAGTTACGACTCAATCACTGTGACCAATATGATAACTGCAATTACAACTGATAATTCTGAGAAGTCCTGCATATTCCCTACATATCATCACATACCTCAGACAAATCTAAATTTTTCCCAGGATTACAATCCCAGTTTGGGAACCACTGTTTTAATGGAAATATTTCAAATTACAAGAGCTTTGATAAAAGATGGAAATGCAGAGGTCACTTTTATTGCTGTTACCAATACTCCAACTGTAATAAAATGAAAACATCAGAACAACACAAATTTAACTAGGTTCAACTCTATTTTGACAGGTCTTCAATTTCACAGCTGCTACATGCTAAGTCTAGACATTAATTTGAAAAACATCTATTTGATCATTCTTTAGATGTTAACTAGCTGAGTAACTGATATTTAAAATGTGTTTGCTGAGCCCTAGATGGAAACAGAATTGTCTACAGTTTCTGTAGAATGTTGTGTGTCCTACACTCTCCATTACAGGCCCTGAATCTCTCCATTGTACACCTTAGAGCTGGAACCAGGCACTGGTCAATTCCCTAGTTAAAGAGTTTATCACAGAATAAGCATCTTCCTGCAGACTTAAGAATGCAAGTCTAAGTCAATGGTGTTCTACCCACATTAAGAAGCCAAGACAAATCATTCCTTCTGAGAGTCCAATCTCGTATATACAACACTTTTTGACTACAAACCTGTGATCTAAAAACCATCCACGCTTCAGTTTCCTATCTATAAAATAGGTATGTTAAGGGAACTTAATTTTTCCTTTTCTTTTTCTGTTTCATATATACCATCTGGAAAAAAATCAGAGGTAAAAGCCTTCCCCGTCTTATCAGATACCTCTACAGTGACAAACAGAATGGAATCTTGTTCTTAGTTCGGCTGATACCCATTACTGTGGTACAGACAAGAATGATGACTGTACTTCACAGTAGACATGCAGCTATGAAACTCGTCATGCTACAGGATTTACTATACAAATGAATATGAGCATCCAGTACAGTTACAAGAACTTAAATAAGACATGAAAAGAAATTCTTTACAACGAGAGTGGCCAAACATTGGAACAGATTGCCTGAAGAAGCTGTGAAAGCTCCATTCTTAGAGATTTTCAAAACTTAACAAGGCCTTGACAACCCTGTTCTGAGCAGGAGGTTAAACTAGATGGCTTCAGCAGTTTCCTCCTACCTAAGCTTTTCCATGATTCAGTTGAACAGATTCAGAAAACTTACAGAAAGACCATTTCAGCAGGGTATTATGAATAGTGACGTGCTGGACTTGATCTAACAGAAATTGCAGAAGATGTCATCCATTCTTTTCTTACAGGAATCATCCTTTTACAGACTATGTACATTTATGCAGGACCTTTAACAATTTTTCTGTAAGTAATTCTCCCCATTCTATTATTCCACAAGTTTAGCTTCTGACTGAATTCTAATAGGCAATTTAATACATCTCTTCAGCACACCCCTCTCTCTCTCATTTTCATCTTTTTAATCATTCTAATACAAAGTTCCAAAACCAGCATTTATTTATCCAGAAGCTATTATTCCCCTTATTAAAGGCTTTCAGAAGCTAGAACTGGTAATATCCATAGAATTTTCTCCACCACTTTTCCATACATGCTGCTCCCCAGCTGTTTATTCTTAGGAGCTTTGTCTGACCTGTTTCAAAGTATCTCTGTTAACAGGACTTTTACTGGAAAGATCAGTCCACCACTTAATACAAGAATTATTTTTTTTCCCCTAACTCAATCTACAAATTTTTCATGACATACCTTCATGGGCCTCTTCAGCGCTTCCTGAATATCCACACGCTTCCGCATAATGGTCTGGTCTAGTTTGCGTTCAAAGGCCAACAGATCCATGTAGGCCTGGGACTCAGGAACCAGCTCCCGGATCTGAGAAGGAAGCAAGGAATATCCAAGCACTGGAAGCAAGAATCTACTATGTTCCAGATCAGTAGTACTGACACCTTCCCAGCCTTTAGACAGATGTGCTCAGACATTACCCCTAAAACAGTAGCTCCCAATTAGCGGGGCAGGTCTCGGTGGCATGGTACAAGAATATGACTGAAAAGCTGGAGCACAGAACTTAAGCTAATGAAGTCTGGAAGACCCCAGCTGGAACCACAAGGCCTGAATCGTGGCTGCTTTTTTTCAAATGAGGCTTGGGTACAAGCAGCCTGGAAGCCACTGCTCTCGGCAGTGCAAAGTATGGCAATTTTGTCCTATTTCAATTTAAAAATGCTGGGTCTCTCTAGGCTAAAAATAAAGGGTGCAAGTTCATGTTGATTTTTTAAAAACAATTGTTACTCATTGTAAGTAAAAACTGCCATTTAGGAAGTCAACCTTTGTCAACACATCCTCTTGTCTGAGGTGAGATTGACCTTCATATCAAAGTTTCAGCATGACCTGCTATGAGGTGTCAACTTACAATCTTGCCAAATTTTATGGGTATTTTAATTAGCTTAACTACATTGGTTCTATTAACAAACCCCTTTTTTGTCTTCCCTTTTCCAGAGAAGTTAGCAGAGGAGGTGATATGAAGTAGGTTAGGAGGAAGACCTAACAATCTGAGCTTAGAAACGGGCACGTATACCCTTACATGAAAAAGTCAGTTCTTAATTGGGAATAACTCATGCAGGCAAACCATAAAAGAAAGGAACTGTAAGTAATTATAATAAATCTACTGGACTGCCTTGTCTATTTCTATGATATTCACTCTAACTTTCACCTATATAACTAAAATATTCAACTATTAGAATGTTTCTGTTCTATAGGAATTAAAAGCTAGCTGTATTCCTGTTTTGCTTTTGATTCAGAAGTGTACAGTTTTAATTTAGCCTAAGACACAACACCTATGTGAGAGACACTAGGCATACACCTGTTCACTGTGTTCTGCAAGGACGTAAGAACTATTGCACGAGGTCAGCCCAACAGTCGTCTGTCCTAGTACTGTGTCTCTGACAGGATTTGAAAGTTGTTGCCCTTTAGTACGTACAACAGCCTGAAACATGGCATTCCAGAACCTCAAGAGGCAGTGTGTAAATAAGTACCTCCTTTTGCTCATTTTGAACCTGCCGACTGTTAGCTTCATTTGATGCCATCTTTGTGGATAGCTGGAGCAGCAGTGGGCAGGCATTCCCCATGTACCTTCTCCCTGCTACTCACAAGTTTTACAGCTTTTTGACATCCCTTAATATTTTTCTTTTCCAGCCTCTAGACGAACAATTCCTCCCTTCTGTAGGGAGGAATAGACTGATCAAGACTATCAAATCAATGTCTCTTTCAACCTTATTTCTTTCTTTGTTTCTTTGTTTTGAGATGCTAGAACACCTGCTCTATTTACAGCAGGACTGACACTTTGGAGAAGCAAAAACCATAGAGCAAAAAACTCTGTTCAGGTTAGCTGAACCACTATATTTTTAACTGCTTGTATTCTTTCACAAAGTCTTAGTATCAGCAGAATAATAAACGAACATGAACATTTTTAAGAGCCAAGCACGAAAAGCAAGCATTACCCTGGAAACATCAAGGAGTTGCCAGACAGCTTGCAGAATAAAGCTAGGCAGTGCTTCCTCCCCACAGTGAATACAGATCTCTGGACCCAACAAAATACCCCAATACTTTTATCCTGTCCCACACAGAAGAAAAGATTCCTCATTTCCTTCCACACAGAGGAAGTTAATCATGCTGTACTGCAGTGAATTAAAAATTCTGGGCCCAGAACACAGGTTCAGTTGTCTGACTCCAAGTTCTAGCACAGTCAGTTCATCATCTCCTAGGCACATGATGAAGCAGGGAATTGGCCTACACACCCCTCAAGAGAAAGCACATACTACAGCTGTGATACAACCTTTCCAGCTGGTTCACAGTGTACTGCACCCAGGATCCAATGCAATTTCTAGTAAGTTTGTAGAAACAGCAGTAATCTTCAAGAAATATTTCTATTCCACACTTTTACATCTCTTACCACATGAAAGTGAAAGGGCATTTCCTATTCCATTCCTATAACCAAACTGGATGTTAAACATTATAAGACGTTAAGAAAGCCTAAACACTTTAAAATCAGCCAACAAAGATACTACTGCATATAACTCCTTGAACTGCAAATGGCAAATGGTTGGGAGAGTATTTGGGAGAAGAACTGTACTTGCCTGTGTTTGTACTCTTCTCTAGGAACGTGTTATGGTCACAGTGAAGACAGGATACTGTGCTAGATCTAAGGTCCACTCAGGCCAGTTTTGGCTGCTCTTTTGCTTTCTCACCCTACTGTTGGAATAACCTTTTGGAGGCATGGTGTTCCAATTTCATAATCTTTCCCAATTGCCCCTCAAGAGTGAGAGAAAAAACAAAGGGCAGCCCCCGCAGTATCACATCACAGTGAAGAATTTTCTTTGTTTCTGGTACATCTTAGCTCAAAAAGATAAAGGTACTCTTACACTCCACGGTACTCTTACGCTCCAGCCAGTAGTACATAATGCATTTTTCAGTTTTCTTCATAGGCAATTAAACCCCAGCTATCTTGGTATTTATGTGATAAGGGTCCGTGCAGCCTGCCTAATTTCTTCTTCTTGTCTGGTTTGCCCTAACTGAAAAGTTCACAGCTCCATGAAAGTCTCCTCTCTTCTTCTACAAAAAATATGACTATAAATGAGTAAAGACTATTTCAAGACCTGAATTCTCCATTCTGGCCTTTATCTATTTCAAGAAACTACGAAAAGCACCTAGCAGCTGGCCTGTATCAGAAATAGTATGGCCAGCAGGAGTAGGGAAGTGATCATGCCCCTGTACTCGGCACTGGTGAGGCTGCACCTTGAACACTGTGTTCAGTTTTGGGCCCCTCACAACAAGAAGGATGCTGAGGTGCTGGAGCGTGTCCAAAGAAGGGCAACAGAGCTGGCGAGGGGTCTGGAGAACAAGTCTGATGAGGAGTGGCTGAGGGAACTGGGGTTCTTTACTCCGGAGAAGAGGAGGCTGAGGGGAGCCCTCATCGCTCTCTACAACTGCCTGAGAGGAGGTTGTGGCGACGAGGGTGTTGGTCTCTTCTCCCAAGTAACTAGTGATAGGAAGAGAGGAAATGGCCTCAAGTTGCGCCACGGAAGGTTTAGATTGGATATTAGGAAAAATTTCTTCACCGAGAAGGTGATCAAGCATTGGAACAGGCTGCCCAGGGAGGTGGTGGAGTCATCATCTCTGGAAGTGTTAAAAAAACGTGTGGATGTGGCGCTTCATGACGTGGTTTAGGGGACATGGTGGCGCTGGATTAATGGTTGGACTTGATGATCTTGAAGGTCCTTTCCAACCTTAGTGATTCTGTGATTCTGTGATCTCATCATCTGAGGTTTTGATGCATGTATGTTAAGCCGTATCTTAGAATTAAATGAATAACTGGAATAGATTATTATTAACATCAGTAAGATAGTCTCTTTGTAGAGGCTGGGGTTCTTGTTTTCCTATTGTGAAAAATCAAATGTTTCAAAATGTTAAAAATTAGTAAGAACAGATTATTATTGAATTATGCACTTTTATCCTTGATTTCCACAGATTTTTTTATCGATGGTGACAAACAAGTGGAAAAATTCTACGAGTGGGGGCAGTGAGGACAGTATGCAGGGAACAGCATGATGGGAGAGGCTCTCAAAAATTCCTTGTAAAAGCAGCACAATGTGGGGGCCCCACCATATGCGCCTGTGAACAAACGTGCAAGGCTTGTGAAACAGAGGCAGAAAGCAGCGAACAGCTGCAACACTACAGTCTCTGGGATATGAAAAACATCATGGGAGAGCTTCTATGACTAGCACGGTATGACAGCTTGGAAGGCAATGACAACAGGCTATGCACTGGGGAAGGCTTCATCCAAAGGCTGAGAGCTGCATGAAAATAGATGATACTGCAAGGGGCATGTCCTACACACCAATCAAGGACGCAAAGCCTTTCTTAGACACCTGGAGGAAACCCCATGGTTGCAGGCCCTCATACTCACAGGGGAAC